TGGAGACATGTCACAGTAGAGGCACTAAAAACTAATATGAACCTGAAAATTAGCTTTATAGGCCCAGCTAGCGGGGAACGTTCTCACAACTTTGGCTAATGTTACCTACAGGTTCTAATAATGTTTTAAAGAAACGTTTTAATCTGATGTTCAAAGAACCTTTTGAGGATGTTTATTATTTCAGATAATGTTCCAATAAGGTTTAAGGTTAACTAAGACATAACGTTTTAACTGCAACATTCAGAAAATGTTTTCAGGATTTTATTGAGGGCTGAGATGACAGAACGTTTTTTATAAAACATTCTGAGGATGTTTTTTGGACGTTGTTGGGGTAACATATTATAGATGTTCTTTTATGAAACATTCCCTCAATGTTACATGATAACAAAAGAAGAACATTTTCAAAGCAACATTCGGATAATGTTTTCAGGAGGTTATTCTTTTTTTATAAAACGTTCCTGTGATGCGAAATATTAACACGGTCATGGTCAACTTAAGATTTATTTGTAGAGCGCTTTAAAAAACAAACTTGTTGCATTTTTTTTTAAAAGGATGTTTTAAAAAATCTGAATATTTTCCTTTTGAAAAAGACAAACAAGTATGTAATTCATGATAAGCTGTAAGCAGATATTGCATGTTTGCGGTGGCATGTCTGAGTTCCCAGCTAGACATTTTTTGTTCTAAAAACAGTCTGAGAATATTACCATTCATTTTTCTAGGAATGTTTTCAGCGGGAAGTTTTATTTTGGTTCCCAGAACGTTCTTCTGAAAAGTAGGATAACGTTCTCTAAAAACATTCTTAAAATGTTTGGTGATAACCTTCTTAAGATGTCTTTGATAACATTGTTAGAACATTATGCCCTACTACTCTTAAAACGTTTTCAGCTGCAAGTGTTTTTGTTGTTAATGCACATGTCTCTATATTGTCATATTGATAGAATAACACTTTTTCATGACAAAAGACACTTTTAGTCGCCAATAATCACACTTTTTTTCTGACTATAAAAGTTGTGTCTCGTATGTAGGTTCCAACTGTTAGATAAGCTATCTGGCTGTGTGTGGTTTGTGAGGGCTGCATAGAAACAGTGTCCGCTGTTTATGCATAGTGGATCAAAAACGTCATTGCACCCTTTAGATTTGAGACCGACAGACATATAGAAGAACGGACCGACTGTCACTGCCCGTCCCTGAAACCCCTGTTAGTGTTTGTATGTGTTTGATTATATTGTGTGTCTCTCTCCCCCCCCTGCCTGCTGGTCTGCTCTAAACGGCTGGGAGCAATCTCCAATCAACCACACCCGCAACCTGCCCATCAGCCACTCTAATAAAGCCCTGCAGGATTGTTGCCGTGAACGGATTGTGGCTGTGAACGGTTTGTTGCGTGCCGCTGTAGCTTTTTGCCAGCAGATTTTTTGACAACTTTGCCTGCTTTTGCCTCCCACTGATTTTTGTGTCTCTCCCAGGAGGAATCCAAGGCCTTCCACACTCCCATGACCAGCCAGGCCTCTCCACCCTGGAACAACTGTTTCCCACTGCCGCCATAATCAACCTCCACTCCCAGCTCCCCTTTTCTAATAAACAAATGTTACGCTCACCAGCTGATTCCGATTCATCCTTTTACATGGGTTAATAGTCAAATTTCAATAGTTAAGTAAAACTATCAAAATCATCCTCAGTGGTCAGTCCAGTTACCCAGGAATTTTGAGTTGAAGAATTACAGGAATATCATGTCCTAATGTTCAAATAATGTTAAAATATTTTAGTAAATTGTTACCACAGAACATTTGCATAATGTTTTAAAAGTAAAGCACGTTATCCTTCTCTAAAATAATAACATTCTGGCAACATAAAAAAATCTAACTTGCAGCTGAAAACGTTTTAAGAATAGTAGGGCATAATGTTCTAACAATGTTATCAAAAACATGTAAAAAGGTTATTATCAAGCATTTTAAGAATGTTTTTAGAGAACGTTATCATACCTTTCAGAAGAACATTCTGGGATCAACAAAAACACTTGCAGCTGAAAACGTTTTAAGAATAGTAGGGCATAATGTTCGAACAATGTTATCAAAAACATTTGAAGAAGGTTATCACCAAACATTTTAAGAATGTTTTTAGAGAACGTTATCCTACCTTTCAGAAGAACATTCTGGGAACCAAACTAAAACTTCCCGCTGAAAACATTCCTAGAACTATGAATGGTAACATTCTCAGAATGTTTTTAGAACCAAACATTTCTAGCTGGGAGGGACCCTTTAATCCTCGTAGGGAAATTCAGCAACAGTAATAGGAGTTACACAGGATAGGACAGGTAAGAGTTCACAGAATAACAAAAGTTATATATATAAGATATAAATAAAAAAACTGTATTATAATATAAACACAGCGCATCTGGAGATAAACACATACAGTATGAATGAAAATAATTAGGAATATGAATAAATATATGTCTCTGTCTCTGAATATAATGAGTTATTTATAAGCCAGGGATTTGAGATGATTTTATTCCAATAAGTCAGCATTGTCTGCCTTATTATAGCACATTATGTTATTCTCATATCTGCTGTGTTGGCACTGCATGAGCTATTTAAAACTTTTGCCCACCATTGTGCTTTCTGTAGGTGTGACCAATAAGTGGGAAGGGAATAAGAGGCCCTCCTATCTCCACAACATGACAATGACATAAAACACAACATGCATGTAATTGTGACAGCACATAAACAAAGAGCGTGGTGTAATGTGTCCACTAAGGCGGACTCATCATTAGACTCTAAGTGCCCCATCTTCAGGGAGGTAAACAGCAGCGTAGAGCCTTAGTAGGTCACAGCTTAAAGTGCTGTATGCATTATTAATAAAGTCTGTGCTAATTGAAAGTCATAACGCCTTAAATGAATTTTCTGGGGCCGACATCACAACCTGTCCACCTGCAGACTGACGATCCCCTGAGATGGAGACAAATTTAGATTTTCTGTTTTTTTTTCTGTTGGGTTTTGTAAGGTTTCACATAATAAAAGGTATTCTGATTCTGATTCTGATTGAACAATGGCAGGATTACAGTTGCTGTTACATAACAAAGACTGTAAGCTTTGACTTGATCTTTGCTTATTTTGTTAACTCATCTGTTCTGTCTGAAGACTTGTTGTTTTCGGTCCTTTAACATGATAATTTAGATATTTCCTCGAAAAATATTGTTCGTTAAGAAAGCCATAATATAAAGTGATACCAAAGAGCATCCGAACACAGTGTGTTTACTGCAAGCTATTACTTTGAGTTGATGTCGTCGTGTAAGTTTGTGTGTGTGTGTGTGTGTGTGTGGTGTGTGTGTGTGTGTGTGTGTGTGTGTGTGTGTGTGTGTGTGTGTGTGTGTGTGTGTGTGTGTGTGTGTGTGTGTGTGTGTGTGTGTGTGTGTGTGTGTGTGTGGTCAGAGTATGTTATGGAAACATGCTGCTGGCATTTAGAGCATGTGAAATGTCTCTGCCTAAATATACTCAGAGGTTAAATATACTGTCATGTTGATTGGCCGATGTATATCATATTTATAGAAGTGTGACAGCGCAATCATTTCAAAGAGTTAGACCTGAAAGACATTGGGCACATTTGAACATTTCAGTTCTGTACTTTAGTACAATACTGAGGTGCTTGTACTTTACTTGAGTATCATTTTATTCCACCTGATCTCCACTTCATTTGAGCGGTAAACAGTGTACTTTCTACCCCTCCACTGTATTTATCTGACAACTAAAGATACAGCATTAGATTGAGATTCAGTATATAGAATATGTTGCATTGTTATGCAGTAAATCAAACCACCAGCAGTACATAAAACATGCAGAATCACCTCAACCTTTGCCAGATAGAGTATTAAATTGCTGCTTTCATGTTGATGCATCAGTATTAAAAATCAAATAATTGTTGTAGTACTTTTGCCTGTATTGTGGGGACTTTACCTTTACTTATTAAATATATTTGGCAGATATTATATCTGTACTTTTACTTATATGTCACTGCAATTTGAATGCAGGTATTCACCTTGTGATAGAATCGTTTGGTTTACTTTACTGAGGCCAGTGGTGTAAAGTAACTTAGTACATTTACTCAACTACTGCAAGTACAATTTTGAGGGACTTGTACTTTACTTGAGTATTTAAATGTACTTTTACTTGATGTCGTCGTGTAAGTGTGTATTTGTGTGTGTGTGTGTTTGTGCGTGTGCGTGCGTGCGTGCGTGTGTGTGTGTGTGTGTGTGTGTGGTGTGTGTGTGTGTGTGTGTGTGTGTGTGTGTGTGTGTGTGTGTGTGTGTGTGTGGAGATGTTTTCCATCTGCAGGATGAACATAATACACTCATACCCATTCATTTCCTATGGCGGTCAATTCTGACCGAAAACATCATGGGGGTTTCACTGTTGAATAAATCACTAAAAAATCAATGCAAGTGGTGATCATCAATTGTATATGTTCAGAGGCCTAGTGTGGAGGATAATATAAGGTCTTGAGGCAATTGGATGAAAAACACAATATTTATGATAAAAAAACAAAGTCACTCGGTCACTTTTGACCCGAAACGCAAGAGAAGGGTTAAGTACAAGATTTGAGTACTGCTCCCACCCACTGAATGAATTATCTCAATATTAGCTTACAGTATTTAAAATAAGAATATAAATAAACAACATTAAAGTCATATTATGACTTCTGTAGTTTTTCTCAGATCTTTTGACATGACTTTAGATGTTTAGATTGAAGCTTGTGTGTGTGATCATACAGTGCAGTATTCAGATGTACTCCAATCGAGGTGAGGGACAACCCCAGTGCGCATGCGCAGCGTAGTCATCTGACGGGTGAGTGTTGCCGCTACACCGACAGGGCCACCGCTGTAACACAGGACACACACAGCCTCCATGAGGGACCGTCTCCTGCCAGAATAACACAGTTAAACAACCGAGGAGTAACCGGGAGCACCGCCCAGACGTTTGGAGGTCGGTGAAATTCCCCCGGAGATGTAGCCAGCAGCGCGGCTGTGGGTCGGTGTGTTCGCTCGGTCTCTGCATGGCTCTTCCCAGGGATGCCATGAAAATCAGAAGAGCCGACTGAGAGCCCGCTGCTCCTCGCTATCTCAGACACAGTGGCGGCGGCAGAGGTGGAGAGCGATGGATCCTGGTGGAAAGATCCAAATTAGGTAGCGTTTACGAAGAGAACCGAGGAGAGGAGAGCGTCTCCGTTTTGCAGTTTAGTCGCCGCCGGAGCCGTCTTAAGGATGGATTTCACCCAGCTCCGGAACATCATCAGCAGATACGTAAGGGCCCCGTCTGTCAACACTGTCACAACTGTAGCTGTGTGTCTGCAGGTGCATGGATGTAGTGCATGATACATATTACATTTGTTTCGGTGCATTAACTTGCACCACACACAGGGCAGGGAGTGCACGCACAGGGTGATGGACACTCATCTGCAATGATACACATTTCACTGTGAAGCTTTGGCAGGCCATTGACTGTGAGCTTTACAATGTTTTTGTGGAGCTGAATGGGGAATGTGCCAGTGGCTACAGATGCAGGGATGGCCGGTGAATGTGCAGAATAGAAATTAACTTGGCTGGCCCAGTTAAATTGCTTTGGTGAGAGCTACAATATGCAATGCACACTATCAACAATCACATGGCTTCCCCTGGTTCTGCAGAGGAAATAAATCCCACTCAGGACTCACAGAGCTCAGCGGCCTGGCTGGGACTCAGCAGCACTCAGTTTTACTCTTGCTTTTACTCTTCTGCAGCCTGATAGAGAGATAAGTTGCTAGGTTAAACTAGAAGGGTTTTAAAGTTGTTACTCTCAGTATTTGGTTTATTATAAAGCACCAAGGGTGTCCTGGGGTCAACATTTGAAAACATGTAATAAACAGTGGAGATGGCCAACATAAGACATGAATAAGAGAAAAGCCTTTAATATGTATGTAAAAACCTACATGTACACTAATGACTTTCTCAACATAGTTCCAAGCAAACATACAAATCCTTATATTTATAGCATCCCTTATAAATGTTTTCATTTGAAACACTGATTTATTTTTTTATGTTAGGCAGTGTCAGAGGTAAAGAATTCCATATTTGCATCACTATATATACAACTTTGTGTTTTACGTAAATAATGTTTGCCTTGGGGAGATTAAACCAGCTTTTTTGTTTCTTTGTTGCCTGTTTGGTGGCATATGACTCTAAATCCTGTTTTTATATTTAATTGGACTATTTATGATTGAACTCTCCATCTTCAAAGTACAAGTGCAGCAATCATCCTGTCAACAACTTTTAACCAGTGCATACTATTGATAATAATCAGGGGAGGATGAAGTACTCAAATAGTTAATTCAAGTAAAAGTAGTTTTAATACAGTAGAAATGCTTTGTGCTGCTTTCAGATTTGAACGTTTTTTTTTTTAAAGTAAAAGTACAAGAGTATTTCAAAAGGCTTATTATTTACTATATACACTTTTGGGTAGCTTGTATTTCCCCAAGGTTTTAACATTTCATTTATCTATACCTATTCATGTTCAATTATTTGTTGTCTATATGTTATAATATTAAACTTAATCTGAATCTTCAAAGTAACTGAAACTTTCAGATAAAGTAGTACAAGTATATTTTGCTCTGAATTATAGTGAAGTTAAAGTAGCCTGAAACAGACATACATAAGTAAAGTACAAGTACCTCAAAGTTGTATTTATGTGCATTACTTGATTAATTGTACTTTTTTTTTTACCACTGATTAAGGTGCATTGGGAACACAAACTTCAAAGTACCTCAAGACATCAGGAAAATGAAGTAAAAACAATAATACAGTGTAGTAGCAATGTATTGGAGTAGAATTATAAAGTTGCAATAAATTGAAAAACTCAAGTACATGAACCTTTAAATTGTACTTCAGTAAATGTACTTAGTTACTGTCCACCACAGATATAAGTTAGCAGGGTGTGCCGCTTTGTTTTGAACTAGCTGCAGAAAACACAAGAGAAAACACGAGCGTCCTCATCATTATTTGTTATCAGATATCTGTCTAATAGCAGGAAATGTCCACATATTAACAGAGCAGATGATGGTGAGCTGTAACTACATTACTGGTTGTTCTGGTGTCACACACACACATCGCTGCCATCAGCAGTCTCTGCTCATCAGCCGGAGCAGGAAGCAGCTGCTGGCTGGGCAGCTGAATTAGAGAAGGAAGTGTCTGCAGGGAGACAAGGTGACAGGTCTGGTGATGATCATCAGAGTGGGCACCTCGAGGGTCCTCACATCTGCTACAAGTCTGAGACCCTTCACCTCACCTGCCTCAGGTGCTGGGAGATAACTATCAGCATCAGTGTGTGTGTGTGTGTGTGTGTGTGTGTGTGTGTGTGTGTGTGTGTGTGTGTGTGTGTGTGTGTGTGATGTGTGTGTGTGTGTGTGTGTGTGTGTGTGTGTGTGTGTGTGTGTGTGTGTGTGTGTGTGTGTGTGTGTGTGTGTGTGTGTGTGTGTGTGTGTGTGTGTGTGTGTGTGTGTGTGTGTGTGTGTGTGTGTGCGTGCGTGCGTGCGTGCGTGCGTGCGTGCGTGCGTGCGTGCGTGCGTGCGTGCGTGCGTGCGTGCGTGCGTGCGTGCGTGCGTGCGTGCGTGCGTGCGTGCGTGCGTTTTTCATGCCACATTTTACTGAATATCAATGGGTTTCAGTAAACAACACAAGATATGTAAACACATGAAACTTGACTTTGAGAAACTGGAATTTAAATCTTTCACTATTTTCGGACAATTACAGACCAAACGATTAATAAAGAAAATGATTTGCAGATTAGTCGATTATGAAAACAAGCGTTAGCTGCAGCCCTGGTGTATTTGCGTGTGGTGACAGTGTGTGTGGAGCCTGACGGATGCTCCAGCAGGACTAATGTCAGGGGAAATCAGATCCACGGGTGAAGAAGAGGAGAGGAGGGGAGGGTCAATGAACACGCCCCTTATTCCTCACCCTTCTTCATCCCTCTGCAACACTGTTAAGTAGACAAGGGATTAATCATTAATTCAATTATCCAGTTATTGATTCAGAATTTGAGGGATGTTTGATGTATATCTGGATGTCTTATTACTTGTATTACCCTCCATTAACCCCTCCATATTCTGAACAGCTGCTCCCTTAATGAGGCTACATAGAAGAACAAACATTACATCATGCAGGGTGATTAACATGTGATCAGCAAGAGGCCTTTTCTCCGGACAGAGAGAGCAATAAACTCCCTTCAAGGTCACTGCCCAAAAGAAGCCACCCTCACATACTTTAATTATTTTGCTATTTCAAAAAGTAAAGCTTCATCAGGCATGAAAGGATGTACTTCTGATAACTTTACTCCAGCAGACAAGTTTATGAGCCTTTCTCTTCTTATTTTGTTATTTTCTTAGAACTGTTTTGGGACTATTTTTGTGTGAAGGAAATAAGGCTTTTTCACTTGTGTTGCACAAGCTAGGCAAACTCTGCTTTGCTTGTAATTGGTTTTGTTTATTGAGTACATTTGTATATATTTCTTGATATTATTCTTTTTTGGGGATAGGATACTGTAATAAAGTTATTTCCAGTGTTGCCATTTGTGTCCTACAAATATTATGAATATGGAAACAGGCATTCAATGTTTGACACTAAAATAAGGAAATATTAAAAATAATTTTTTTTTTTTTAAATAATTTAATCACCTTTATTAGCCAAGTGTATACAAGGAGTTTTACTCGAGTGTATTGCTTTCCTCTAAATAAAGTTGCACAAAAATTGACAAAACAGCTAGGAACAAGGACAACAAGCTGGACAATTTCATTTAAAAAATAAAAAGGGCTTTAATGTACACAGGTTTGTGAAGAAATAGGTGTATACACATGTTTAAATGTAAAGAAACACTGTTTATCAAAAATGAAAGGCAATAAAAGAGAAAATCTAGTTAAGCATGAGTCTGGAAGTAAACTATACATTTTAGACATCCAAAAAATATTGGCGGTATGATACTTGAAGATGGTTTGCTAGGGCATCTGTTCAAACAAGATTTCTGTTTTTTATTTGAGATAATTTTATGATTTGTCTGATAGTCAAACCGTCATCTTGACCATCTGGTGCTTCAGCTGTCACTGTGAAGTGAGCGTAACCTTTTTTTATAAATTGTAATTATTCAGTTCCATTCAGTCCAGGACTTTATAATGAGAAGGAAAACGTATAAGCCTGTTTTCGGTTCCAAGAAAAGTTACCAGTGAATTGAGCCTGCACAGTTCACTAAATCGTTTTTGTGAAGAGAAATACGAAGTCATGGAGTTTTTCAACGCATGAAGTTTAAATGTAGTTTGTTTTGTCTTTTGGCATAAAATAATGGCTAAGCCTTCATGCAATAAGATATACAGTATAATAGGTGTGTGTGTAACTTTTGTTCTGCTATCTCAGCAGATACCTGGAACAGGACATAACAGGAAGACTTTATTTCCTAAATAGATTTATTTGAAAAATTATCTCATGTGGTTTGAACAGATCCTGTATGTGCCTTTGTGTGTGTGTGTGTGTGTGTGTGTGTGTGTGTGTGTGTGTGTGTGTGTGTGTGTGTGTGTGTGTGTGTGTGTGTGTGTGTGTGTGTGTGTGTGTGTGTGTGTGTGTGTGTGGTGTGTGTGTGTGTGTGTGTGTGTGTGTGTGTGTGTGTGTGTGTGTGTGTGTGTGTGTGTGTGTGTGTGTTTATGTGTGTGTTATGTGTGTTATATGGGTCCACTCCCTTGTCTCTGGTGCCTATCTGTCGCCTGATAATAATAATAGCCACGGCGTGATGCCTCAGACAGGCACAAAGCGTAAGTAATGCATGAGGTCAGGATCTGGATAAGGAAGATGCCGTTGGTCTTAATAAAGATACACATTATCTTATAGGGGCTTAAACATGTTCTCTTATTTATAAAGTTTACCTTATCACTTTCACAAAACAATATTAATATCTTCCACTGCTTCTCTTGTCTGCAGCTTGATTCACCCTTACCCCCCCCCTCAGTCCTCACCCTGCTTTGCATCTTATCTTTGAATGTATGACTGCTATTCTTGCGTAGACCTCTCACAACCTCAGCAGATAAAAGGGAAAAGCCAGCCGTGTCTCTCTTTGATCAAATGGCTGCCAGCAGAGTCCCGGCGTGCTGAAGGGCTTTGGAAAGGTTTCTAGCAACTTTACAGCTCTTTGAGTCCCCCGGCTGGTGTTGAAAGGCAGAACACAACCTGCTGGATCTCTGTTTGCCACATTAGCGGCTACCAACGGTTAAGGGCAGTCTATTCTTGGC